CAAATGTCATTATAATGCAGGACAAAGACCGGTTGCGGGATAATGCCGCATTATAATCAGTTTTATTGTACTAAGTCTGCAACAGTTTGGACCATGCTCTATCGTTCTTATGCAGTAAGAGCAAACACAGAAAGCTAGATGTTACCTTGTAAATTACAATGCATGATTTGTTATACATTTGTTAATGCTGGCATCTTATTCTTTTTATCACAACGGTAGTATATCGTGACCTTAAGTCAACTCCTCGATCGCACAAGGGAATACCAGTTGCCTCTGTGCTTCGCTTTCGTTGATTAGGAGAAATAGTTGGATGTTGTTGAGTACAATCTTAACATCGGTACCTCTTATATCAACCTGCTAACGGAAGAGAACTCTGGTGGTTTCACGAACATCACGCTGTTCCACACCCCCCCCGTGGAATTCCAATGGAGGAGGACGTGAAACTAGGCGATACCATCTGCCCCAGATTCTTCACTGCCTGTTTGGAAATGATGTTCCGGAGGATGAACTGGAAGTGTGCGATTGACATCAGTGGTGAACGATTCTGCCACCTGAGGTTCGCTAAAGACGTGGTACTGTTTGCCGAGAATTCCGGTCAGCTGCAGGTCATGCTGCGTGAGCTGGGGGAAAGGCAGTGCAAGTAACGTCGGACCACAAATCAATCGATTAAAGGTGAATATACTGCAGTCGGGAGGGGGGGTCCAGCCATGGATGCGGGTGATATTAAACGGCGGAAGGATCGAAGATGTACAAACGAATAATAAAGCACTCCTAGGTGGTGAAACACAGACAGTGACAAGCATCATGAATGGAAATGTGCGGCAGTTGACACTCAGTTATGAATGTTTAAGAAAAAACCGACGTCTCATCGATTACAAACTTTCACTTACGTTTTATGGTTCAGAACAATAGAATCATTTATTATGTTGTTACTCTGAAGACAGAGCGAACGGGGTCAGAAACTTCAGCGTTATTGGCGAATTTTTTGTGGGTTGAATGTTTATTCAATGCGAACACTTTTCTTCAGCGACACTGAGGTCGTATTAAGTTACTTCACTCTTTTCAGAAGCAAATAAGAAAGACAAATGAATGGATGGAGCTAATAATGGAAGTGAAATTATCTGTTCATTTCAGGCGAAAACACGGAAGGCGTTCGCTAGCTAACCGGCATACGACACTGAGGTACAAAATAGAAACTGATCTGCTTTCGGAAAGAAATATGCCCTTCTGTGATACAGCAACCAATGCCATAAAGCAGAATTGTTCGAAAGCTGCCAATGTGGCGGACATCACGAACCAGAGACGTTCTGCTTATGCAAGCGTCTTAAAGTGATGATCTCAGCAACACAAACAGCACATTTCAAACTTACTCTATAGGAGATATTTGTCAGTGAGGCATCTACTGGTCATCGGAAGAGACAATCGACCACACGCTTCGGTTCAGCACCGGAAATGAATAAAAGTACTTATCATCGGCATAATTTTGGATCTGCACCCGCGAGGATAGCTTGAATCTGAAAGGATGAGCAACAGTCATTGTGACCTTACTTACAAGGGCTTCAAAGGCGCCACTGCATCTGGAAGCCAACGTCCTGAACAATCATTGAGTGTGAGCGTAATTACTTTCATTCTTGCTTTGTGGGCAGCTTAGCTTTTCCATTTATGACATCCTCCTCAATACTGTCATTATTTCCTCACACAAAGATGCCACATGTTCGAGATGTTACAAATCATTCACGTTCTGACGCTAGTACGAACGAATGTAGCTCGAATGATCGGTCATCTCGGCCACAGCAATAGATTATAAAAACAACTATCCTTGTCACTCTACTCCAAAGGAACCTTAGGTTGCAGTTAGAACTCGTAAAACGTTTTTATAATAGTTTTGCCATGATGATGGCAGCAGGTATGATGACATCCGTTACCCGACTTAGCCAGTTTATCGATGAAAACTAGTCGACGTTCCTTCAGTACTCTCTGTTATGCGCTTTGACGCCTCCACTGCTGAGCAGGTGATTTGACCATCCAATCCACCCCATGGCCAGGTGGACATTCGTGGTCATCGTAAAAGATGTCGGTGGATGGTTTTTCAGGCGAGCTATATTGCTGGCCCATTTTAGACGGCGGAAATCGCGTCTGTTGATCGGGATATCTGCGCGATCAGAAGACTCGCAATCCCAGATGAAAGCTTTGTACATTTTCTGCTCCACACGGTCCATGTTTTGTGTGGCTATTGATTTGTTTCCCTCACCTTTAGTGGAGACCAACATTTAGAGCCGTACATCATAGAGGATCGGATCAGGACGGTTCCCTCTTCGTCAACATGAGCAGCGCTCTGTCAAGTGAAGATGTTTAATTACGATTAAAGCTGGCCCATAACGCTTTCCTTTGCTCAGCTATGATGTCGAGCATCCATCTTTAAATCATGAATGGTCGTAAATTTCTCAGATCACAGTCTGTTCGTTGTAAATTACCTTAAACGCTGTGTTTTCAGCTGATTCTTGGCCGAAGCGATTCAACGACCAAGGAGCTCGCAAAGACTGGGGTTGGAAACACGAATACGACTTGAACAAAATGGCTGAAACGATGTTCAACTTCTTTGCCAATCATCGAGCGGAAGTTTCAGACAGCGTCTCATCAGCTGCTCGCGGTGCCATGTAAGGCATGAATCCTCGTGCTGTCGCAAAGCCTCACACATGCCTTCAGTCCGTCCGTTAGTTTTAAGTTTTCTTACACATGGAATATCAACATTTATGGGAAACGGTTCATTTTTTACGTGTCCAGGTGCAGCTTGTCTTTTCTGTTTTGCGGCTGTCATGCAGCATCTTTGTGGTTATTGTTCCCGTTGTTGTACTGAAACTTTACGGTGCTTTTCTCGTCTCGGTAAACCTTTTCGCGGTGGCTAATGATATTTTACACTTGGTGTTGCGCCTTCAAACAGTAATTCCGATGTTCAGGAGCATGCAGAATATTTGTTCCCGTTGGTGTCTGTTGAAACACCAGAATAATCACATAATATGTTTGTGACTCGAAAGTGGCCAGCGATTTTTTTTCCAGGTCAAAAATGTTTCGTCAAGTAAGAATTGTGCAATTTACCAGTAACGTGTGACTGGAATCAAACCATCCGATCATTATAATATTGTCCATATATGACAGCTGTTGGGTGAAGCGATTTTGCCATTGAGGCTACCTTCATCAGCACTTCAGGATTGCAAATTTCTCCCATGCCAAAAAGCAGTCGGTATTGTACAATATCATACTGACCTAAATAGTCGAACATAAAAAACGCATCAACGCCTGAATCCTTCTACGACTGCAAATTGCTAGAAGGATTGAGTGGCGAACAATGTCCACATAAGTGCGACTCGATGTATTCTTATCCAAGACACTAATGGTGTCACATCTGAAGGTTGGAGCTCCTCAAGTGATGGGCTGAGCAGCTGTTCAACTGCTGTCCTCCAAATTCAGAATTTCTGACCGTTAATTCGCTGCCAACATTATATAGTCCAGAATCATCCTCAAAACCTTGTTGCACCTCAAGGTGAAGAAGGCCTCCTCGGTTAATTGTATTTTTCCTGAGTTACTTAGATGTGAAGGAAGGATAATGGTTGAAAAGTTCCTTGCTCTGTGTTTGAGCCTAGAAATGTTTCCCTGGACAATGGAAGTGTGAAGTAATTATCCTGTATTTAACGGAGGTGAGCTGACCGAGTGTTCAATTATCATGGTATCACAATAATGTCTGCCAGTTAACAGGAAATGTTTTTCTTGCATTATCTTGGTAAAGTTGAGACAGGCAATTGATGGAAGATTTCGTCTAATTCTGCAGACTTCTGAATAGAGTACTCCTGCTCCTACCAAATTTTCAATCTGAATAGGATCAGTGAACAATATCGACGACCGTAGTTGCTTGGTCTGCCAGCTTCCTCGACCTTAAGGCTTGATTTGATTCGCTGCATCGTCCAGGAACGTAGAAAATCTTGGAAGGCTATGGGGCACCTGAGCACGTTGCTTCTATTTTGAAAGAGATGTATGGAGGAGCCATGACTTTTGTCAAAATTGAAAGAGAACTATTTGAATGATTTCCTATTAATTGTGAAGTTTACCAGAGCGATCTGCTTTTGTCCTTGTTATTCAACATTATTTTCGAATTTATTCTTTTAAACAGCTCTGACCTAAGAAAGGACGAAGGTCTTATTTTAGATGGAGAGCGCAGTTCAGGACATCATCTGACATGGGGTACGCAGATGATATTGTTCTGATGAGTAGTACGCGAAATAGACTCAGTTACCTGAGGCGTGTGCATGCCTGTGAAAGCCTCTTAGTGCTCGGAAATCCAAAGTTCTGAGGAACCAATCCACCACAACTAATTTTCAAATGTAACATGGAGGCGAAGCCCTTCAAGATGTTGACCTGTTTAAGTATCTCGCTGCATCATTTTCAGCAATGGTACTCTCCATCCAGAGCTAAATTGAATGATCGTCTTTGCCTCAGCTGCTCTTGGAAACCTGCCCCCTCCAAATTTGGAAGGAAAAATGAGTTATGCTTCACACGAAAATTCACCACTGTATTGCCTCTGTTGGATCAATGTTGCGGCATATCGTGGAAAGACAGTCGCTCTAACGAAGGAGCAAGAAAGACAGCTGACTTGCTTATAGCAGCATTCGCTTCGACACATAATGAGGATTAAATGGAGGGCCAGGTAAACAATGACTCTATTGTCTTTCGGGTACAGTAATAGTATCGATAGATGTAGTCATTCAGCATGAGATATTAGCCTCATGACACCATCTGATTGAGCATAAACCATTTGCCCTAGGAGATGACGTGTGGCAGCTATAACGTTGCATTTGTCGACCAGGCGGACAGTGTTTGACGTGAAGGAACGAGGAAGACCCTTATCTGCTTTCGGAGAAGAATGTTTCCTGAAAAATTGATGAAAGACCGTGGATACGGTAGACTTCGCAAATCAAAAAGCACTAAACGGTTCAGTGTAATAATATCAGCAAAACCTCACCTTCATCTAGTCATCGTCATTACCTCTGAGAGCACATTGTCATTTTAACCAGAATCTTTCCGCACAGAAAATCTGTAAAATTTCCATTTCTGAAGTCAGCAGATGTATCAGTCGTGCTCTGGCCGCAGGTGACTATCGCATCTAACAACTTATCAGAGGGTGGGCAATAAACAGTACATATGACTTCATGTCACTCTCCGCTACCTGCTGAAATTTTAGTAATGTTAGTATTATGTTCATATCTGCCCACTTTCAGACGTCGTCCAGTCGACACGGTATCGTGGTAAACTTACAAGACAAACGTTTGCAGGAAAGATCAAACATTCGCGTCTTCTTGAGGAAAACTTATGTTTTCAATGCATAAAGTTTTATCACAGAAGCGTACGAAAGGACTGCCGAAGAACCAGCATCGGTGTATTATTAAACCTAGCCTATCAGCCTTCGTCCTAACTTTCAGACAGTCGTCGGTGAGCTTGAAATGCTTAACATGCTTTAGGA